TTTTACATCGTTTACTATAAGAATATGCTGCCATTATTCTAGTAATCCTTGTAGTGAAGCAGAATTAGGACCTACAGCTATGGAAGTTGTAGCTCAGTACTGTACATCTGGAGACCATTCAGGTTAGGGAAGGCAGGTTTCTTGTCAGAACTGGACAATGATTCCATTACTGTATCTACATTGTATGTCTATTTCTTTCAGTGATACTGCTGACTACTGTGAATAGCCTGAGCAAGGAAGACTCAATTTGCTCAACAAATACTTCCTCTTCAAGTCCAAATTGAAATGGTGGAGGCTATAATTTTTATTACATTCACATGATGGTGGTAGTGGCAATGGGTAGTACAGGAGTGTGTAAACAAAAATCTGTGCAAAGGAGAAACCAGGAAAGGACCCCATCTGAAAATAATTGGGCGAACAGTAGATATTCAGATATATCTTCCATAAGAAAAGAGGTTTGCTGTTATACATTAATATTAGCAACCAAAGATATTGAATCCATGGAGAGAACCACTTATTATAGCAGTCTGAATGGGCAAAAAACTCCTCCGGTTACATCTGAATGGTTTCAAGTTCAATCTGTGATTGCTCAAGAGGAATCTACTGGAACAATCAACTGTCCATTCCTCTACAATCTCCAATTTATGCTGTACGTAGTTTTTTATGTAGAAAGAGGATAGAAGTTAGAATCCAAAGAACTATACTCTTGGTTTTGCAGAAGCTGGAAAAAGTTTCAGAATCAGGCAGCTGATAATGGCTGGGGGAACCACTCCTGAAGACTCCAAAGGCCGGTGGTTATGTGCTCAAATCCTGGACCACTGTCAAATAGCTCTTAACTATCCACATGATTTTCAGTATACAAAACTGAAAACCCTTTTTTCCTGGCCTTAACTACAAAAGAAAAAATGCCATAGCCAAAATATTTCTGATTGCAGAGAAAAAGTGCTAACAACGCAATGTCCTCCTCCCCACCCCACCCCGCTCCAGCCCGTCTCTGTCTCAGGGTCACTAATCCTCATGCAAGACCAGAACAAAGTGGCAGCAGAGTCGAGGTGCAGTTCTGTCATCCTGAAGATAACTTTCATTAAGCCAAACCATCAGCGATGCTACATGAACGATAGAAAAGAGGCGAGGGCAGATAGCCGTGTATGACACGAGTTCTCTCGCTCTCTCTCCCCCCCTCGCTCTCAAATTGTGGACTGCTCCTGCAGAAAGCCTTCCGCGCCAGGACCAGCCCGCTCGGCTTCCGAAGCCAGCGCTGCCTCGCGCAGCACGCTCACGTGCTC